AAAAAGCCTCCACTCCCCACCTCCAATGTTACATGACTTCACTGCAACCCCCCCCCCCCCCATATATTTGTCACATACACCTAGTATCATTTATTGAACTAAAAAAAGAAAGGACAAAAAGTGTTGAAATCATTAGACACAATTGCCCCTATTGTTCCCCTTTTGTGCAATGACAGGCCTGAGCATATTTTCAGATAGTTTGAAGTTTTATTCACACTTATTAAAATGTAGGTTAATGTATCATTACGTTGGTACCTACCAACGTAATTATATCCAGGTTTGTTATTATGGCTTACAAAGTTAGGGTTCAAGCGTAAATAAATAAGCCGTCTACAACTCTCTTTTGGCATGAGCTTTTCTTTTGGGTGTGTGTGCACAGACGACTACATGTGTAAAGTGTGCATTAACATCGCTCTATGATGACTCTGGGCGGTAGCCCCTCAGGTAGTAGACCCAAGAACAGGGCTTGCTGTGGCCTTCAGAACGCTGGCTGGAGATGGTCAGCTTGCCAAACCAAGGCCCTGCAGAGCCTCTTGAAGTGGCACTAAAGGAGATCAGGATGTTGTAGGTCTTTTTGGAGACAATGGTGTCCACTTCTTTGACCGTGAAGCAGGGGTTGTCAACCTAGGAGCGTGGTGCATAAGGATAAGGTTAAACAAGTTTCATAAAGTAATCAAATCAGTTTGAAGCATTTTTAGGAGCTGAAGTCAAAAATAAATAAAAAGCCAAACTGTGTTACTTTCTTGTTTGACTATCCTAGGTGTCATTTCATAGTGGTTTAGTTCTACTTATTTTATGGGTTCTGTACCTGGAAAGAGAAAGCAGTGGTCTGCAGGAACACATTCTTGAAGGGTATAGTGATGTTGCGACCCGCCTTGATGCTAAATGGGCCCTGGGGTTTGGGAGAGTGGCAGATCCCATGTAAGGGAAAGATGTATTCTCCCCAATTCCTGAGGCCAGGCTGAGCTGGCCTCTTACTTCTCCCAGCTGATGCGGTTCAAAACAAACTTCCATGCTGGCCTCTGACCCCGCATGGGAACCCGGAGACGCACCAACTTTCTCTTCCACTATGAAGTCCGGGCAATCAGTCTGCAGGTGGGAGATAACAAATGAAGCAGCAAAATAAAACTCCTTGATTATCATTGCATAAGCTGAGTAGTGTTTCTAGTTCAAACTGATGTGTAAAATAAGTAAGAATAAGACCAACAAAGTAAAGGTGGGAGAGCCAAAAGATCATGTTGTGCAGTGATATTTACTACTTCTCCTATAAAGGATTTTCTTACCTTGCATGAGTACTCAGTTTTGAAGTGAGAGTAGTTGATGAATTTAATGGGAACAGAGTGGCTGCTGCCCAGACAAGTGTTGAAATGGACAGTTTTCTCAGGTGGAGGGGGCAGAGCTTTGAGGACCAGATCGTAGTGAAAGTAGCCCAGATCATTACTACTGAGAGTCAGCCGGGCTGTAGACCTGCCTGCACGCAGGGGCTTGTACTCAAAGCTCAGAGAACTCTGAAGAGAGGAATGTACACATATAGAAAGATTCATCAAAAGTCTGTTTTTCAGTAAGTGCAGGAAAAGATGAACTCAATATCCACCTTGGACTGTCCTGGCACCGTGTGCTGGGTTGGAGCACTGATGTCGGGACAGTTACACTCAGTGCTGAGGCAGGTAGCTGTGGTCAGGGGGTTCTCCACCTCCACAGTGGCCAAGGCTGTCCGACGGACCGCTGTCTCCAGCTTTATTTCAGACAAAACTCCTGGAGATGTAACCTTGTATGTTACAAGGTAAAACAAATACTCACCGGAGGTCACGTTACTAAATGTCACCTGGGGAGAAGAGTGAAAGGTTTGAGGACAAGGTGCTTACATATGTATACGATCTGATCAGAGAAATGTGTGAGTGATCAAACCTTGGTGTTGAAGTGCCCCTCTTTGTAAGCAAAGAAAGACATCTTGTAGTCCCGTTTGGTCAAGGCAGGGACATCAATGTATTCAAGACCCTTGAGGGACATTGTGGCATCTGTCTTGTCAGGTTTCAGAATCTCCATCAGCACACGAAATCTGAGCACACAGAAACACTATTGACTATTAGTTATCTGTCCTGAAAATGTCTTTGTGTTTCTACTCTTGACATTTACTCATTATATTTTGCATAGAGTTTATATTTTAAAGGCAGAAGTTTTAAATAGGGTATGATTTTGTGCCACCTTTTTCTTGAAAATGTCTCGCCTATATCTTTTAAGAGAACTGAGTGTATACACAAACTGCTGCAAAGTGCCACAAGATTTCAGTCATAGTTATGACTCACATCTGCTGCAGCTGTTTAGATCCCCAGAACTTTGTTGTAAGTTTAAAGGCGCACTAATCACAGAATCTGTACATTTCTCCAACTTTCACATTTCTCTTCCAAAACTCCATAGTGCACCTTTAAGCACTTTTTTTTTTTTAGCTGTGCTTCAACAAATGTACTGTTCTGGTTCACTCTCCCTGTTCTCATAGCATCATTTTAGGAGCAGCATCACATTTATTAGATAGATCGAAATATGAACGTCAACTTCTATCTGTTACTGCTGGATGTCCAAGTTACCCATATCAAGCTAAAAGGTGAGCTCCGAGTGTTTCTGTCATCTCCAATTGACCAAAGAAGAACACAGGTTTTGCTTGTTTAGGAATGATCACAGGATCTGTATGGTCAGAGAAGCTGGAGACTTTAGGGTAATTGTGTGATTTTACCGCTGTTGCTTGGAGAGCCAGTTGTGTACTGGGAGCATCAGTGTGTGGTGAGTCTTGGCTGGCAGTTCATGCAGAAAGGTGTCCTCTGCCTTGGGAGGCTCAGCAGTTCCCTGTAGAGTGTACAGCATACCGCTCCCATCAGGGAAGGAGAAAAAGACTGATCCCAAGTGTTTCTTTTTATCAGCAGTCATAGTCAGTGGTTTGTAGGTGATCTTGCAGGTCTTGTTTTGAAAAGGTTCCATGGTCACAGAGGGCTTAGCAGTCCACTGTTCACCCTCAATGACGGGCCTGATGCTGCAGTGATGGCTTGTGGGGTTGAACACTGGAAGAGTCAGTGTGTGAGAGCCACGCACTGGGCAAACAAAATTCACCACCTGGAGACATTTAAGATTCAAGATTTGTATTTGTCACATGCTCATACAGATGTGCAGTGAAATGTAAAGACTGTTCCGCAAGGCTATGCAATAAACACTCAAATTACTAATACACATATATACAGTAATATAAAAAGTCTAATGTAAAATTAAAGAAAGAAATATTTGAATATACAAAATATAGAATAATGTAAACAGTGTAGTCCACGGTGTCAAAGCGCAATGTGCAGATTGGATAAGAGAGACATAAGGGTTAAGCCATTTGTAGTACAAAAGCATTTACACTAGGGGGAGTGCCTGTCATTTCTCAAAAAGTACACAGTAAAAGTACTTCATAGTACCTGTGCATGTAGTCTAAAAAGTACTTAGTCCAACCATATCAGAATCATTGTGTAGTGTACTTATGTAAGAAAATATATATAATTATTGTTTTCTCCAAGAAAACTTTTTTTTTTTTAAATTGTGAACACCTTATTTTGAAAAACGGAAGTTACCGCAGACTCGCAGAATTATTCTCACACTAACTTCCCCGACCTCCGAAGCTATTCCCTGCACAGTATTCTGTTTACTCCTGTTTCATACACTTGTATCTCATAGTCAGTTTTATGGTAAGACCTAGACATTTAGCACTTGACGTCATCGCTCTCTCTGCTTGTTCCTCCTGCTCGCTCTGGAGTCCGGAGCATTTACCATAAAGATCAGAATACGTGAGCACTTCAAATGTAGGGGCGGCTCACTTCACCATGTAAACTCGAGGAGCGGCTGGCTTCACCGCAGTTTTGTTTTGATGGTGCCCACTCCAAACCTGCACGCATACAGATATTATTAGATATTATTAAGTTACAGGTGGCATATAGTGATGCATTAATAATATTTCTGAAATGACCAACATGGACGAGTGAAAGTCAAACGTTTGTTAGTAATATCTCCACATTACAGGCTGTATTGAGAAATTGTATGTATAAAACTACGTGTCGAATAATTGGTTCAGAAAACGATATTTTTATCCCTTTTGTTGATGTTTTATAATATGTTGATATTTATTTAGCTTTTTATGTAGATATGGACCTATGGGTTTAAAGTAAAGTAATGGCAAACTAGGAGTTTAGTGGGCCCCAACTGGTTGTCATTGAATGTATTTTCCTTGTACTGAATGTACAATTCCTTACATAAACACAACATACAGAGGGGTATCGTCACGTGTAGGGATGTTAAATAGATAAAACTGTCCCACCAGCTATTACTGTCATTTATAAGAAAACTTCAGTCATGACTCAGTAGAGTTATTTCTAAAGCTGTGTGTATGCTGCATATCATTTATCTGGCTTCAGATTAGAATACTAGGTTTATAAAGTGTTGACAATGTTCAACAAGTCATACATTTGTGAAGCTTTGATAATCCCTCACAGTTGAGGGAACACTCCTTTAAGTTCCTAAAGAATTTTAATAACATGTGTCTGCCAAGTTTGATCCATCCTGGAAGACTTCAGTTTCCTTTGGATCTGTTTGCTGTAGAGATGACAGAGAAAAGATGAGCAGAGGACGATCTATGCTTCATTGAGATTTAGTTGGGTCCTTTTATGCATTTGCACAACTGATGTTGAGGTAACACCAGACAGCAGACTTCACAGTATCCTGGAGCAAGTGACAAGCCAAAGTAAAGTTAATAATTACTTATCCAGTCTATCTTCTCTTGGACAAATTAGCTATGTGCTTCTGACAAGGCTCAGTCAGGTTTTTCCACGTGTACACCTGAAGTGCAGTACATATCAGAATGCAATATTACATAACTTAGACACTGAAAGAAAACACTTGTACAAAAGTATTCAAAACCGGGATTACAAACAGCTACAGCAGAAACACATTTACAATTATACACTCATACAACTTGAAAAATGGCCTTCAAAGTGTTTAGTTCACCCATCCAATATATTTGATTAATATGTTTTTTTTAATGCTTTGACATGCACCAATAGAAAACACAAAAACATGCAGCATAAACAAAGTTTGAGAAGAAATGTCAGGATCTAAGATTGTTGGGTATTGGTCTATCCTAATACACAATGTAAATATATTGTGTGACACTACTATCACTTCTTTAAAATCTCTGTTGTGTCAACTTCTGAAAGCCAGCCATTTTATGCAAACTTAATAAATAGCCTTTTTTTTCCTTTCAATCTCAGATTGTGTCTTAATTTCCACTTCTGCTCTCCTCTCGGCTGTTTTTGTTAAATGTCATTTGTGAAAACCTAACCAGAAGTGAAGCATCATTGCAGATTTACTTGTTGTTCACTAGAGATATGTTAACATACAAATTGAAACATACTCGTTCCTGCAGGCTGTGACTGACCAGAGACTGATCTATGGTGGTAAACTGCTGCCCGACTATCTACACATCAAAGATCTCTTCAGACAGGTATGTGTTGCTAACAAACAGTACTAAAACATTCTGTCTAAAGTAATATGTCATGATATTAAAGTCTGACAGCCACAAACACTTGAATGGAGTTAACAAGTTAATTACAGACCTGTATGCTGCGGACGACAAACTAGCAGGAGAGGTTTTATCTACCCTACTTTTCAACTAACAACCATTGTCTGATGTGTAAAAGGATTTCTATGGCCTTTGAATATGAAATAATGCTTTCTAACAAACAGTATATTATATTTCATGTGTCTTGTTTCAGTTTCTTTTTGTGTGAATATGCCCAAGGCTCATCTTGCTTTAGAAAAAACAACGCACCGATAAACAACCTGAAAAAGGAAGTCAACTTTATAACCTAAATACATTTTGTTCTTTTTAGAAGGCTATGGCTCATAGTGTAAACCAATAAAGATTCTTTTTTTTTTTTAAATTTCTCTTCCATCTTGAGACTGTATAGATGAGACCACGAAGAATCCAGAACCAAGCGGTTCAATTTGATTTTGTTCAGGGTTGTGGGAAATAACAACAAGCTCATTTGTGTAGTGTGCAAGCATTTGAATGTCGGCCTGACATGGTATTAGTCATGAAAATGTCAGGAACATGATCTCTCTTCTCCTCACCGCCCTGCTCTGTTGTCAATGTCAGGCTGGTGGTCATGTGACGTGAAATAACTACAAGAAGTCCTGGTTTTGCTGGTTTTGACATTTTTAGACTCCTTGTTAAAGTTTTTGTGGAATTTGAGCGAGAGGGCAGGCCTATCTTCTTCCACATTTTTAGACTCTTTCATGCTCATGCAAAGACATTTACTAGGTTTAATATTTCAGCTGTACTCTGTGAGTGTATCTGTGTTTGTACTCTTTTGTAATCAAGTATTTATCTTCACTTTCTTAGACTGATACGAGTCCCACAATCCATCTGGTGTGTCCTATCCAGAATCTACAACAAAGACCACTAGGAGCAAGACCAAAGGTAAGAAGTGATGATGTGGACTTACTTTCCTCAGAGCTTATGTTTTTACATGCAGCATTGTTATTTTTCAAGAGGAAATCTCATGTCAGAGAGAGATGCAAACTCCTGAAACATTTTACAACAGGACCTGAATTTGAGCACTTTTATCCCTTATGGACACTTTAGAAATATTATTTTTAACCGCCCAATAGCTGACTGTAACTGTTTTATTTGATTTTAATGACTGTAGTAAATTCAAGATTTTAAATGATTTTAGTGTTTTATTGTTCTTATTGATTTTATTTTCTGTAGTAGCTTTATCTCATTTCTCGTTGTTTATCATTTATGTATGTTTTCTCAGCATCGTTGTAAATGAGGGTCTCCCTCAATGATCTCTCTGAGAACTTAAATAAAGGTTGATGATGATGAATTCATATCAAGTATTATCTCAAGACGCTTTACAAAAGAGCATATGGGATAATATGCAGGAAGGATTTCTCCTTTGTATTCCTCTCGTTCCTGTTGTTCATACTGCCTTGTCTCTGAGGTGGAGGTCAGAGCAGGCCGCGCTTGAATGAGGACGGCGGTGGTTGTGGGGACAACACAGTCTGATGCTGGTGGCTGTGTGTCAGGTGGTGGTGGTGGTGATAGGCAGACATTTAGTGGTGTGCCCTTTAGCATGACACTTAAGCAGGAATCAAACCAACATGCCCCTTGGTCAGGAAATGATATCACTTACCAACAGACCAAAGGCACTGACCTAAACTAAGGTTGTTTTGATGTTTAAATCTGATTTTGAACTGAGAAGTTCTTGTAGGTTATGTAGCTCTGAGGTTATTCTAAAAGGCTGCTCTCACTCTGAAGAGATGTGACATTATAAGAGGACATTTTTTGTCCACAGTCAACTATGATGTAAAATATATAAAATAGTAAGAATAATTGGATATTCATTTTTAGACCATTTTAAAGTGATCTGACATTTTTTTTTCTCTTGAACTAATTCTAAAATTGATAATCAAATGCCCAAAACTTAAATGTACAATATGCTGAATTTGATTACAATGTTAACATTCCAATATCTAAGTTGATTAAAATGTATAAACCTGTGTTATATATATTTGCACTTACATTACCTCAAATATTTCCAGCAGTTATCAAAGCCATAGGAGTCCATCATTTTATATATATTTCTGATAATGTTTCATAGATGCTTACAGTTTGGTGTATCTAACAACATGCATCATCTTTAGGAGTTTTAATGGCGCTCCAGTCTCCTGTGACACATCAGTCGCAGCAGGTTCAGAGACTGACAGGTGCATCTCTTCACCTCCTTCCTCATTTTCATAACAGCACAGAGTGAAACGGTTTCACTGTCGCTGTCACGCTTCAGAGCTCAGCTTCAGTTCTGAGATCTAAAGTATAGCTAAAGATAACTCACTGAAGTCAGATACTGCAAAGGTGGTTGTTCATGTAAGACAATAAGACCCATATCTACTGATTGTTCATAACGACTACAGTGGTTGTGCTGTAGTTCAGACATTGCTAAGAATTAAAAAAAAAATTCAAACTTTTTATTATGCAGACCAAAGCGACACAACTGCCACAACCCTCCAGCCCAAGGCCCGCGGCAGCCTCTGCTTCACCCAGTCCCAGCAGCCTGTCCTCCACAGACCAGACTCCCAGCACACCAGAACTGAGACAGAGGAGGCAGACAAGTCCATCTTCACCTGCTGCTCCAGCCCACACACATGCCCCAGTGTCTCCACCAGAAACGCCTACATGGCCTGCTGCTGCAATGTAAGCCAGAATAGATTGCTGTGCTCTTGTTTATTAACATTTGCAGACCTCTGATTTTCACAATTTAAAAAAAAAACTTTTATCAGGCGAATGTGACCATTTGAAGGGACACTTGACCCTTTAAAGCCCCTCTGGTGCATTCACTGCAACCCTCATTTTATAGGGAGACTTCACCTACAGGATCTGTTTGTGAGAAGCAAATGTCCATATCAGGTTTACTGGACATTAAACTACCTTTGCCCTGCCAGCTCTCAAGTAGAAAGTCCATATGAAGTCCAGATGAGTGTAAACAGAGCACGTCTAGAGACTCAAATTGTCTACATCAAGATGTTCAGCTCCTTCTATATGATAAAATTACAATTCTCACACTTCAGTTTAAAATATTTCATTCTCAAACCTTTACACTTGTTGCTGGTGTTTGTTTGTGCAGCCAGAACAAATTCTGATTCTTTTGTTTCTTTGAATTTTTTTTAAATGTGTATGCATTTGTGTTTATTTTTGTTTCTTCAGTAACCAATGCATTGCCGAGTTTATTACAGTTTTGTGTAGCCTTACACATAATACCAACAAGAAGAGAGCTAATAATTATGATTAAAAAATGATCAGACTTGGATCTGAGCTGAAATGAAAGTGTATCAGTGCATCTCTGCCTGATTGTGTGGACATTGAAAGGAAACTTTTTACTGACACTTAATGACATCAGTATGAAAACTCAAAAGTTGTCTTAATTTCTTGCATTTCATATTTGATTTATTTGCTCATTTCGGTGTTTGGTTCCCACAAAATATAACATAACACGAAATATTTTTTCTTGATAAAACTGTCTATAAGATCAATGACATCAAACTTTGAAGCGGCCTATATTACATAGAACTTAAAGACGCATATTCATATGTTATGATCTGTTATTAAGGCTACTTTATTCAAACCCTTGATCTGTAAGTTGCTGCATTACTTGCTCCTAAGGGAAGTGAAAGAGGGCGTGTCATACCTATTGAAACACTTACATGATTTGCGCATATGAAGATAAGTGATGTCAAAACATCACATACACTTACCCTTCCATTTTTAACAGATGCTAACAGTCTTTCATCTTTCCCTGCAGGGCCAGATCAACTCAGATCACCCAACCAGCCTTTCCCACCTACTCCCTGTACAGCCCTCAACAACTTCTGTGGCTGCAGCATGTCTATGCTAGACAGTATTACATGCAATAGTGAGTTATATTATTTTATCAAATATATTTATTCTGCTTTTCTTAAACCGTTAGAACCTCATGGAGGGCTGACAGCTTCACACAGCTGGTGTCTAATAGTTGTCATGTTTGTCTCGTGTAACAGTCAGGCAGCGTTGGCCGCTGCAGGGACCGTCCCTTCTGCACCAGCTCCAACAATCGGCCAGTACCCTCCGTTACCCCAACATGTGCCAGTAGCAGCCCCCTTAGCCAATCAAAACCCAATCGACAACCTGCAAGCCAATCAGAACCCAGCGCAAGATGCAGCTTTCATCAACCCTGGTGAGGCCAACCAGAACATGCGGATGAATGCCCAGGGGGGGCCTGTCATGGAGGACGAGGAGGATATGGAGCGTGATTGGCTGGACTGGTTGTACACCGCTGCGAGATTAGGTGTTCTGCTCATGATCGTGTACTTCAACTCCAACCTGAGTCGCTTTCTGCTGGTGATGAGCACCCTCTTCCTCATGTACCTGTAAGTCAAAATCTGAGCACTATGAACCTTTATGTTTTCAAATTGACTTAAGATGTTTTTCTGAATATAATTTCAAGATTAACATGTCATATGTGTACCTTACTGATAATATAATAATAATACTCTCTTTGCAGAGCACTTTTCAAGACAGAAGTCATTTTATAGAAGTCATTTAAAAAAGAGGATCACACTTACAGATACATGAAGCAAAGATTCAGACATACAGTTAAAACAAATGAAAGTAAATACAATAAAACAGGAGAGTTCAAATCTGTATGACGGAGCTTTGATTAAATGATGTCAGCTAAAAGACAAGTCTGAAAAAAATGTTTTTAAGGTTGACTTTAAAGGCTTTACATGCGATTTTTTGATCCAGCAGATGTCACCCTTCAGCACCAGCATGAAACCAATTCAATCAGGAGAGACTTAATTGAGAATGAACAATTATTTATTTACAATAAATGTGCAACAATTTAATTTTGAATGTGCAAAGTCTTTGGGGGATTAGACTCCATCGTGACGACTTCCCACTCGGAAGGTAATGAAGCTGACAGCAGGATAGGAGACCCCCCTATGGGGTCTTGACACTGGTGGT